ACTGCAATTCCCTCAGTCCCAGGAAGAATGCCCAGTAGCCAGGGATGATGGGAATTGCAATTTGGCAATGTCTGGAGCATCAAAGGTCCTCACACCTGCTTTAGGTAAACTACCCAGGCAGAAATACAATGCAGGAAGCATGTATGGACGTATGAACGGATTTTAGAACGATATCTTTGAAAAATGTGGTATTATATTAAAGAAGGAAATATAGAAGGGTACAAATTAGCATTGCTATTATTCAGTGGCCAAAATGACAAAAATCCCATATAAGATTGTTGTTGTTTTTAAAAAAGGAACTCTAAAGATCTAGAAGCATGGTATAATAAAATATGAACAAATATATTTGCAGCAATACTAGCTGCTCAAGTCCAAGCATAAAGAGAGCAAAAGGGAATAGATTCATTTTGTGAAACTTGATCTGATTTTATTTGTTTTCTCAAGAAACAGGAGGGGGGAGACCACCAAAATCATAGAGAACTGTGAGAAGATATGCTTTAAAATATATTAAAGATATGAATTTGATTATATTAACTAATGTGAATGGTTGTCAAAATTGTTATTATTGTGCTCTGGTGATTGGTTTTATTGTAATCACTTCCTGTGGTTCCCCTCTGATATTATTATTATTATTATTATTATTATTATTATTAAGGAAACTACAACTCCCCCAGCAAGCAGGGCTAATGACCAGGAATGACAGGAGTTGTAGTTCAGCAAGATCTTCAGGGCTTTAGGTAAACTACTCTAGCAGGGACGCAACACAGGAAGCTACCTAATATCAATTCAGGCTACTTAGCTAGCCCAATATTAAGTGTCAAAGTAACAGTCAAGCAGAAAGTCTTTCCCATCACCTCCAGCCTGGTCCCTTTAAATGAAGATGCTAGGAATGGAACCTAGGACCTTCTGAGTACATGGTATTGTGCTCCACCACTAAGCTATGTGAAGAAGTGTTACTAGAGAACTGACTCCAGCATATTATGTCAAGAGAGCTGAAATCACAAACCCCACGTCACAACACTATGACCCCTCTCCAAACACCAAAGTGGACTGCTGCTATTTCTGGGTTGGACTCAAGCACATCCTGGAAAATTTCAGGCTGCATCCTTACAAGTTCGAGTCCACACTCTTGCACAACAAAGCTTCTTCCAGCCTCTTACAAAATTGGCCGTTTTTGTGGAAAATGCACAGAATAGTGGGCAATGGCACTTGCTATGTGAAATGTCACCTAACCTTCCCACAAACGTATCGGACTGGATGAAAAGCTGGTATGAAATAACTTCCGCCAAACAAATCAGGACAAATGAATGATAAACAGGTTGCTTGAAAGAGACAGGGGTGTCTGTCTCTCTGTCTTCCCAGGCCCTGAGAGGTTTGAATTCTGTAGTCCTGGGTACAAGAAGCTGCCTTATAAAAATGGTATATTATTGTTGTAAAGAAGCGTTATAAATTCCCCCGTGGGTATCAGGAATGCCTAGTCCAGTGTGCCTGAAGTAGTAGGAACTTTTCTCCTTGTATTAAAGGTAACTTCATTCTTACACCCTCAAAAAAGAGTGGTGGGTGCTTTACAGGGCTTGTACCCACAAGTGCCCACATCCCGAGTTATTGAGCTACACCTGTGTCAAGGAACTCAGCATCTCTAAAATGGCTATATGCAAAGTGGTTCCATCTAACTCAGCATTGTTCTCCAGCAGGGATGGGGAACCTGTGGCCCTCCAGGTGTTGTTGGACTACAATTCCCACCATCCTGACTATTGGCAAGGCTCTGGCTTGGTATGAACAGGAGTCAGAGAACAACAACATCTGGGCACTTACAGGTTCCCCCTGCCCTCTCATAAGCTAGCCCCAGGGCTTCCTGCCACTGTCTGAGGTCTGACAGGGTCTTTTCAGTAGTGGCATTACACCTCCCACAAAGACTTGTAACAGGGCCTTTTCAGTAGTTGCACTACACCTTCCACAAAGACCAGAACAAGAAACGGATTCAAAATTAATATATATTTTATTGAATAGCTGCATTGAAGTGGTTACGAACACCACCCATAGAATTAATTTTTTTTCAAATTTCAGCATTGTTTCAGCAACAGCTTAATTAGATTTGCGAGAGAAAGAGAGGAAAAGAGGCACACAACTAAGAGCGTTATAATAAATACATTAAGATGCAATTTTTAATAACTTTAAAATAAACATTTAAAATAAATATTTTTTTTAATGGTAAAAGTGTGGTAAAAATATATCTACACACAATGAGATGGTAGATTATGAGCAGGTATTATGCTTTGTATGAGGTGAGGAGGAGGACACAATTTCAGAGGACACACTATACAAAATGCCTTTTTTTTTTTTTTTTACCCAACAGAGGGTGAGAGTGTCTTGAATCCCATAGTATCGTGGTCCTTTTGGATCTCAAATGCAAGGGGCTTTCTGGAGGAGCATCCTGACAAAGGACAGGTGCTTTCAAACAGAGGATATAACCTTGTTGTAACAAGGGGTCAAGGGAGAAAGCAGGCAACATTACTTCAGGGAGTTGCATGGGCCCAAAGACCCAAAATATTCTTTTTTTGGCGGCTATGCAAACTAATGGGACCAAATACAATGCTGTTTCACCCTCGCAACAGAAACGGGAGCAGAAATTGCTGGTGTTCACTTATTAATCCCATATCCGGAACAGAAACCATTTTAACAAATACAATCAGTATTCACTGTCTTTGTTTTCAGTTTACTAGCCATACCTAACTTTTTGCGTCCCCCCATCACCACCTCCCATATATGCATTACATTTGCTTTGTATTGAAATGGATGACGTGGAATAACTAATGAGAATGTGATTTACATAAGTTACTTAATTTCACCACAGTGGACAGCAAGACGATTAACAAAGGTTTTGGTAGAAGAGGAACTGCAGTGCAGTGGAAACAGTGCTTCATACAATGAACACAGGGAGGAATGGAAAAAGGAGCCCCCTTACACCCCTAATGACCGTGCCTAGGCAGCAAGAGAGTCCATGGGTCTTTGAGAAGGACTCTACTGCTACACATGAGTGATTATTTTCACTTAACTGGGTCAGACAAGAACCATCTCTGTTGTTCTGCAGACCCTCCAAGTCTCCCTATTTTCTAGGGACGTCCCTGATTTAGAGAAGCCATCCCAGTTTCTGATTTGATCCCGGAATGTCCCACTTTCCCTTGGGATGTCGCTATTTTCGTCGGAGAAATGTAGGAGGGTATGGAGTTATCCGACCCCCCAAGCCACCTGACGGCAATCCTGTATAGGGAAGTTTTTTAAATGTTTTATTATGTTTTTATATATGTTGGAAGCTGCCCAGAGTAGATGGGCGCAACCCAGTAAGGTGTGTGGGGTTTAAATAGTAAAATTATCATTATGGAATGGGACGTCCCTATTTTCATCGGAGAAATGTTGGAGGGTATGTTGTTCTGACCTTTGCAAAAAACCATGCCCTGTTCTCACCCACTTTTGAAAAAAAAGCCACCCTTTTACCAGGGTTCTTTTTTTTGGGGGGGGGGTAGGAAAAAAGTTTTAGAAGGGAAAAAATAAGAGGCATTAATGCTTCCAAATCCACAAAAAGGAGGCCACTATGATCAGAAGTGGCAACCAAGATTTGGACGAACAACAGCCTCTGGCACTTTCCACATTCCACTTAACACAGTGCAAGAAACCCCTGGAAAGAAGCCTCTAAAGTACTCCAATAAACAAAGCAGCCCGAAACTGGCATAATGCACACAGCTTAAGAGAGTCCTTTGGCATTAGCAGAAATGTACCAAGAAGCCAGATCTTGTCTATGGCACCATTCATAGCAGGTTATCACAAGCCATCATAAATGTATGTCACTAACAATTGCACACTCAAAAATATAATCAAAGCAACTTCTAAAACAATGAGAAGAAATTGGCGGGGTGTTTTCTGTGGTCTGCATGCTTGGGCACCCAACTTGCAGTGCCCTCAAAAGGAAGCAGCACCACACCCAACTCTAAAACCATTCCCTTTGGTGGGTCTAAGGCATGCCTGGACAACGTGGGATCATAGAAGGACAACTTAACCTAACAGTGGCTCAGTCACCATTCTTTGCTGGATTGCAGAACCCTGACTAACAGGCCACAGGTTTGCAACCTGAGCAGCAGAGAAGATGCTGAGCAGGCCTAGCTTTGGCGTCTACCTATCATGCATTCATCTGGGATGGCAATGTGTGTGGGCCGTTTTCATCTCCTTTTCACTCCCTAGGTCCAGGTCTGGTAACCTGAAGCCTAAGGATTAAATGTAGCCCTCTACACCTCTATATATGGCCCTTGGGACCACACGCCCCTTGAATGATTTCGCTAGGCTGGAATGCGTCCTTGAACTACAGTATAATTAATGTCATTTGCTTGCCTAGACCAAGGATGGTGAGATGTCGTATGTAGCTTTTGCAGACTTGGAATCTACACAGATCAGCCACATCCACATCCACATGCTCCACCCACTTTTGCAGCTGAACCCACCACCACTGGTATGTGGCCCCCCGAAAGGTTGTCCAACATGGAAATGCAGCCTTCTTGCTGAAAAAGGTTTCTCATCCCCGCCTTGGTTAAACATTTACAAAACTAATATGAAAATAAGCAGAAGCAACATGCAAATTTAGGAACAAGAATGTGAACCAAAGGGTCTGAGTAACACACATTTTGTCACCACCACCCTCTCCCCACCCATTTTTTTATAAGGCCCGGGTGGGGAACCTGCTGCCCTCCATACGTTGTTGTATTCCAAGTCCCATTAACCCCCACCAGCACAGACTGTGGTCAAGGATGACAGATGTTTTAAGTCAATATCTAGAGAGTTGCAGGGGATCAGAGGGACTGCTCCTTTGACCACAGGAGACATGGGGTTGTACCTTACCAAGTTTTACTCAGAGTAGACCCATTAAAAGTAATGAACCCAAGGTAGTCATGTCCATTAATGGCAACAGCTTGCTCTATGTCAACAGTCCTATTCTCTACATAGGACTAGTCTTGGATATAACCCACAGGTTTGCCTGCTACCTGAAAAGGTATATATAATGCTTTGAGCTATCACACCTTCTTCATACCTCATCAGATCAGCCATCCAGCCAGCAAAGTGCTATCTGCATTGACAGGCAGCACATCTTCCAAGTTTCACACAGGAGCCTTCCCAAGCCCTTCCTGGAGGTGCCAAGTATGGAACCTCCTGCACACAATGTCTGCTCCTTAGCTCCTGGGTCAGTCTCTCCTAAAAGTCATAGCATAAAACTTTCTGAGCCATACCTACATCATCCTTCTGTACTCAAGTGGAACCAAAGTGCTTTGGGTTAGGCAGGGAGGAGTCAATGACAAACATAACCCATTGCACTGCATATGTCCCGCCCTCTATTCAAATTGCAGGATATACCTAACTGAAAGCTAAGGTTTTCAGGCAAAGGAAACCATAACTCTTTTCCCTTGAGTTTTTTTTTAAAAAAAAAACCAAACAACAACAACACTCACTGTTTCAAAGAGAAACTGTGTCGTGGGTGCTAAATTTTAAAATAATGATAATAATAATAATATACTTCTTGTACTCTGGCCATCTGACTGGGTTGAGAAGGCCTCTGCTCTTGAAGAGATGGGAGAAAGGATACATCAACCATAGAAGTGACTTTTGTCTGCAAGACACCAGAAATGCCTTGCAGTTTAAGATCAGCCACAGGAGTCACTTCTGGCTTTAAACTCACAGTGACTGCCCATGGTATCTGGTACCAGATAAGCTTAGGAGGAAATGGAGATTGAGGGCTTGCTTTGTTTTAGGCTAGCAAGACTCTTTAAACTACCCCTTTGTTGCTACAGTGAATGATGATTCCAACTTTTGCCACGCCTACAAAAAGTAAAGAGGTTTTACCCTAAATTGGTGAACCAATCTTCCTTCCTTCCTTCCTTTTAAAAAAAGACACATAAGCTTTTGGGCTTTCTCCTCCTTTTAGGGAGGCTATCAACCCTCAACAGTTTTGCATCTCCCCAGCCAGGAACTACCGAAGGTGCCCATCCCACACTTGGCCCAGCGACCTTGCATTTGCTACAGTTTTGCTAGCCTCTCCCCCATCTGCAAATTGTGCATGGCAGAAGGAGCAGAATACAAGCCATAGGGATGGGTACCAGAAGTGAAAAAATAATGGGTTTTGTTTTTTGTTTTGTTTTTACAATAGACTGTTTCTCAGGCTATCATAGTGCTTGGGTGAAATACCCTTTTGCTTTCTGGTTTTGTTTTGTTTTTAAAACCCACCACAGGAGAGCAACTCATAAGGCATTCTGGAGGTCAGAATCCTGAGCCATCCTATAGCAAAACTACACCCTCCCCCCCCCATCCACCACCACCAACCATGCTGATTTAGTGCATGCCTCAGCTTCCCACTCTACTTGTCCAATGTTGAGGACACATTAAAAGCCCTAGAGCCTAATCTTGCTCACAGGGACAATTTATATCTATCATGGAACAAGCTCCAAAGGGAGCTTGCATAGCTGGCTGGCTATTCCATCATTGCTTTGTTCCCAAGCTGTAAGATTCCAGTAGGGGAACCTGAAGGAACAACACAATGATGAAGAACAGCCAGGTGTTCCCCCCTCCCCCCCCTGCCCACTTCCTGTGGGAAGTTATACTGGCTTGTCCAAAGTCTTAGGGAGAGTGGCTCCACTGGTTGTGGTGGAGATCTTCCTGCAGACAGTATTGGTGTGGTTCTGGCAGCGACAACCAGGCCGCTTAAAGGCATCGTAACCCCACTGGCAAAGTTTGAGGCACCCCAAGGTGGGAAAGTAACAGCACAGGCAGGGCATGAACAAAGAGAGGAAACTCATGGCAGCCCAGCGGGCACAGCAGGATCCCGGGCCACAAGAGCAGGGGTCATCGGCACAGGTGTCCTCATCATCTGAGGAGCAGTGGTAGAAAATGCCCTTGACACAGCAGAGGCAAGTCCCATAGTCAATGAGGTTCTCTGGTGAGCAGAAGCAGCGCTTGTTGCAAAGCCAGCAAGAGGGCAAGCTGCGTGTCGCCATGCAGCGGGCACACTTGCAGCGGCCGCATTCCTCGCAGATGAAGAGGTGGCCAGCATGGGCAGCACGAGGCTTCTCAGATGTCCCCTTCCGCAGCTCCTCAGGCTTTGGGTCGCCTGCTTGGGGCTGATTCCGGACAAGCGAGTGCCTAGAGTGCGATGGTGTGATGAGCCTCTGCTCTGAGGCTGTGGTGCTGTGGGAGATGGAGCTGGCAGTGCTGGAATGGCTCAGAGGCTGCAGGAGGGGTGGCTGGCCAGGCTGAAGGTCCTGGATGGTGGTGGGCACCAGGCGTTCCTGAGCCACCTCCTGCTTGTGGGCTGCTTGCGACTGGGATGGAGTGGAGGGAGCTTGCTTGGATGAGGCAGGTCTCTCCACGTAGTCATTGGTGGCACGGATGGCACAAATCTGGTCGATGGAAAGGACTTGCTGGGAATCCTCAGGCGCTGAAGCCATGGTGTCTTCAGAGCTGCGCTCAGTGGTGCTGGCCGGAAAGGGCATTCTGGGGAAGGATGAAGGCTCCAGTCAGCAGGGAACATCAGAAGGTCCTGCAGGAGAAGAAACAAAAAGCAAAGGGGGGGGAGTCCACCCCACTGTTAAATCACAACAGTAAAAGACCAATCGAGACATTTTGTTGGGGCAGAGGAGAAATTGAGACATCTATGCTCTAGCAGCCTTTCTCAACTTTTGGTCCCCAAATGTTAGACTGTCACATGGAAGATAGAGCAAGCTTGATTTCTCCTGCTCTGAAGATAGGACCTGAACCAATGGATTCAAGTTACAAGAGATTCTGACTAAACATCAGGGAGAACTTTCTGACAGTAAGAGCTGTTTGAATGGACTTCCCAAGGAGGTTGTAGACTCTCCTACATTGAAGGTTTTAAAGCAGAGGTTGGATGTTCATCTGTCAGGGATGCTTTAGCTGCGATTCCTACATTGCAGGAGATTGGACTAGATGGTGCTTGGGGGCCCTTCTGACTCTGCAATTCTATGATTCATCCCTGACCACTGGTCCAGCTAGCTAGGTATGGTAAGAGTCACAGTCCAGCCACATTTGGCAGCCCAACGTTGAGAAACGCTGTGTCTGGCTGATAGTCTTGGATCAGGAACTTTTATGGAGGGAGGGGTGGGACATGCATCTCTTGCAGTGGGCTGGAACTACCAATTAAAAAACAGCAAGGCACAGCTGGTACTCATGAAGAAATATTGTGCCTATTAACACACATCAGGCAATTCGTTTTTTAAGCATTGCTATCACCTAATGTTGGGAGCCTCTGGAAATCTTGTGGCTTAAAATTGCAACCCTCCCTTTCAGGCAAGGTGGCACCTGGCTTGTACAAGGCATCTGATCTGAAAAACAACATGATCCCCTGATTCATCTGCTACTTTGTGCACAGTGGGACTGGGTACTCTTTCCTTTACATGCCCATACAGCAGGTATGGGGAACTTTGGGCCCTCCAGATGCTGCTGAACTGCAACTCCTAACAGCCACAGTCAGCATGGCCATTGATCAGGGATGATGAGAGTTGCAGTCCAGTAGCATCTGGAGGCTCCTCATTCCAGCCACAGAGCAATGCCAACCTTCTCACAGTGTAGGAGACCCAGCCCATATCCCTACCACCATTTAATTCAGATTGACCCTTTCCAGAGAAAATCTGGCAAGGTTGGCGGGGGGGGGGAGGAAGTTGCCCACAACCCCATCTGCAATATCTCAACAACCCATCTGCAAACCAAGCCCATGCTAGAAGTGCCCTAGAATCCCCAAGAAGACAGGGAGGGGGAGATAGATTGAGAAAAAGTTATTCAGTATGGGGCAATAGACGGCTACTCAAACTAGGGTCCAGAACACCAAGGCTAGTAGAAGAAGAAAAATATCAATTTGGTTAATTTTTAATGCAAGCCCATCTAAAAGCCACACTTTCTGAAGTTATACTGGAACTGAAATGCAGCCATCCTTCAAAATTAACACTTCTCTGAATTTTGCACTGCAGTTCTCAGACCAAAATACACACATTAAGGGACAGTGTGCATAATAATGCAAGAACTGTTAACAATATAATACAACAACACAACATTAGGATAAATGGCTTGCAAAAATGTGTACAGCTGGCAAAATTACATATAAAAGTGTTATATGTCACAGGTTCATGCAGAAATTTGGAGAACTGAACTTATGACTGGGAAAATGAGAAATGAAAAGAGTCATCCATCCCTACCCATGGCTCTCAGGAGCCAAGACAAAATCACTGTAGGGGGCTATTTATGGTTTAAGCCAAAAAGTCCCACACTGGCTATTCTTCCCTACAATTTTAGGATTCTCTCCCTCCTTAGAGGAGGGGACTGGTCTCCCCCCCATTTTTAAGGTCAGCAAACTAGTCTCTATATAGGCAAGTGAGTCAATGAAGCCAGAGAAGCTGGTAACAAATGCTGCCTGAGCAGGATGAAACGAGGAAAAGAGCAGTGGGAAGATTGATTTTTGTTAGCCAGGTCGACCTTGAAGAAGAGTGAAGATCAAGAGCCATCTTCCTTTGATTGCTAAAAGCCAGCACTACTTTGGGTGTTCCTCCTGCCAAAGGGGGAAAAAACAGCTAGCCCAGATTCATTTAAAGCAAAGTTGAGCTTCCAGGCAAGGCAAGAAGAGCTTGGAAAGAGTTGTAGGATTAGGTTGGGGGAGTGGGGGTGGCAGGTGCGAAGAGAAGAGGGACCAGAGCTTTCTTCGAATCAGGCCCATGTGTCATAATGTGTCTTCAGCAACTGAGCATGTGCAGAAGGCGGCTTCTTCTTCTTTTTTACCAGAGTAAACACAGGAACTTTAAATACACAGGAACCTTAAATATACAATACGGGAGAGGAAACTGTAACGACTGCCAGATTTACCATGCATTTAACGCACATGGCTTCCCCTGAATAATCCTGGGGACTGTAGTTTGTTAAGGGTGCTGGGAATTGTAACTCTATGCCCAAAAAGTTTGGAAGCCAGAGTACACAAAATCACCCAGGAGGCTCATTGCCTACCAAGTGAAGGGTGCTACCTCACCAACAACATGTGCTTTATGTTTTCAGCTCAGCATTTTCTTTGCAACGCATTCTCCATTAGGAAGCCAACGTCAGGGGTCAGCATTATTGGGTATCCATCAAAGCCCACTCACACAATTCCCAGGGCCTCCTGGCTACTGCTCCTTGTGGTTTCTGCCTGTTCACTCCCTTTCGCCCAAGCAAGCAAGCAGTGGGAAGAGTAAAGAGCACATACCTTGGTTCACTCCTGCTGGAAAATGGTACAATCGCTGACCACAGAGAGTGGCAACAAGTGGATAATAGCGTCTATGGTGAGGTGTGAACTCAGAGAGGGGGAACCCACGGCAAAGGACCATTTTCTTTAACAGCATCTTTTCTTTCCCTACATTCAGTCTTTCTACACCCTCATTTCTCCCCTCCCCTTTTCTTCTTCTTCTCCATTTCCGTTCCTTTCACACACACGCAACACCCCCCCCCTCATGCTCACCAAGTTTGGCAGGCAAAGAGCACAAGGCTTTCACTCTTCAAGAAATTCATGGCAGTAAAGCTCCTGGATGCAGCTGGGTGATGCAGCATGGCTGGCTGGCTGGCTGGCTGGCTGCAAGAGGCTGAGAAAAGCAATACCAGCTCCATCATGCACCTCTAAATCCAGGGAGGAGGAGATGCCATGATGTGAGTTTCCTGGAAGACGTTGAGTTGTAAATATTTCCTATGCAAATTCAGGCATTTTGCTTCGGGGTGTGTGTGTGTGAATTCTGCTGCCCTGGAGTGTGATCTAATTTAGCATGCTTTTATTTTACTTGTATTTAGGAAACCAGAGTTTAAAGCTCTGAAGTTGCAAAGCTTGCCTAATATTGCTTTTGCAATTGGCACCCATTAATTGTTGCTTATGAACATGTGAAATGGAAATTTTTCTATGGAAAAACAGTGCACTGGGAAATTTTCTACCACTGGATACAGCAACATTGTCTCATTCCCCGTACCCATTATACATCACTGTTCTCATGATTGTTCAGGAAAGAGCTGCAAGCATTCGGTATGTAGAGTTTATCTGTTGGACTGTAAACAGACAGGGAGAGAGCCATAGTTACCTGCAGGGCTCTGCTGAAGTATACCCCCATTCTGGATGGTGGTGGAAGCATCTCAGTGCCAGAGCAGCCCTCCTCAACCTGGTACCCTCCAGATGTTTTGGATTACCACTCCCATTGTCCTTAACCATTGATCAGACTAGCTCTGGCCAATGAGGGATGTAGTCCAACAATATCTGGAGGGCATCCAGGTTGAGGAAAGTTTTGCTAATGCATAGAAGCTAAAACAGGCATCGCACAGAGGGCAAGGTCCTCCTTGTGCAAAGGAAAAGGGTTATCTCTCTCCATATGCATATTAAGGAATTTGCATGGCTTTGTTCCTGCTTGCAAAACCCAGCATGTTTTTACCTATTCCTCCAATGGAGGATTTGCCCCACTTTCATAATGCTGACATGGACCTTTTCTTAAATCAGCTTCCCATGCAAGATTAAAAATCTACATTGACTACTACAGAGTGCATACTATTTCTTTTCTGTATTCAGCCTCATGTTGACAAGCTGCTTTAAGTACTGCTAGCTGGCAGAGAGGGGAGAAAGAGGCACATGTAAACTCTTGTGTGAAGACTGAAAATCCAATACCCTCTTACCTGGGAGTCAGTGCCCTCTATGGTACTTCAGAGAAGACATGTATAGGACTGTATAGTTAGCATGAGATGCAATCCAGCAGAAAAGCACAGTGAAGAGGAAGCTAAGCTAAATGGGTAGATAAACTAAGCCCTGCCTCTGGCACAAGTTTGAACTTCGGATCAGGTGCTTCAGAGAGTGAGTTGGTGCAGTGATTAGAGTTTTAGTCTAGGACCCGAGAGACCAGAGTTCAAATCCTCATTGAGTCATGAAGCCCACTGGGTGACGTTGGGCCAGTCACTGTTCTCTCAGCCTAGCCCACAGGGTTGTTGTGGAGATAACATGGGAAGGAGGGAGAACTATGTATGCTGCCTTGAACACCTTAGAGGAAAGGTGGGATATTAATGTAACAACCACAATCATCACAATGAAATGAGCTCAGAGCAATACAGCCAGCAAGGGCAGGCTTGCCTGACTTGGAACCTCACAGCCCCTATTCTGGGCCAGAAGTGCAATGCTTGATCTGGTTGACAACCAATCTTATCAACCAGGATCCGCCCCCCCAAAAAAGCTGTCTTTCTATATAGATGCAAGTAAAATATCCCATTCATCTGGGTTGGTCAGACATATCGCTAACTCTCCAAGTAGCCTACCTCACAAGGCAATTGCAAGGATGGTTTTTTTTTTTTTAAGCTGAAAAGCTGTTTGTTGGGCATGGGTTCAATGCCACAACTTTGAACCAATAAGCACCATTCTGTAGTCCTGCAAATTTACACTGCCCAATTTGAAACTTTGAACAGGATGCACAATCAGGACTCATCAGATTGGGTAGCCTAAGAATCTTCATGTTTTGTTAAGCAATGAAACACACAGTGCTTCTAGTCCTTAAGACCACCAAGGGAGGTTTGAATGCACAATTTCAGCTTCTCTCAGCATAGAATTTCAGCCACCAATGAGCAGATGGCCCACCTGAGTGGTGGAGACCATGCTTTTCACACAGCAGGTACCTGATTCCACCCCCCAGCATCTCCAGATAGGGAAGGGGAAGGTCCTCAAAGCCACTGCTCATCAGTGAAGATGATACTGAACTAGATGGATCAATGGTCTGGCTCCGTATAAGGCAACATCTTAAATTTCCAGAAGCACAACCTTTCTGTAAAAGCTATTATTCACATGCTAGCCTAGTTGAGCCCAAATTTTGACCGGACAACCTTTAGGACCCAGCAAGATTCTCCAGCACCAAACAGGATTGATGGAGGGAGGGGAGGGAGGGAGAAGATGAAGAAGAGAGAAAAGAGGATTGAATGACAATAAATTGTTTGCCATTCCGGATGCGATGAATCCAATCCAGCCGGCAGGAGGGACTGAAATAGATACTGCAGTGAAGGGAAAAGGGGAGAGAGGCAGAGAGGGTGAATAGAAAGGAGTTGGCAGTCGCAGCAGCTGAGTGAGGAAGCCACACTACAGAGCAAGCCATTGAAAAAGGATGGCAAAGCAGCGCCTGACAGACAAGAGGAGCTAATGACCCCCTTCGCTCTTCGGCAGAAGGCAAGTCACACACCTCTGCCAACCAGCTATCATGACTCCCCGACACCAAAGTGATGAAGCAAGGTGGAAAGCAAGTTTGAGTGTGGCCCTCCCAATTTACAAAAAAAGGCTCCACTCAAGCCATGACTCAACTTGGGGACCTATTTCCTCCTTTGCCACCCCACAGAGCACCTGGACACTTTAAAGAAGAAGAAGAAAGTGCTTCTGACTGTACTCCCCATCATTTCTTGTGATGCTCAGCCCAACACACCCACAAGATATTGCACAGAAGGGCACACAGCGTGCAGTTTCATGGCAGGCTTAGTAAATCTTGTGCAGCCTTGATTTTTACAAACCGAGGCAATGAGTGCGGACACTGGAGCAGACATTTCATATGCTACCCAAATACTGTCCAGCAAAGATGATTTGTTGGCTGGGCTGCAATTTTGATTTAGCCCTAGGTTAGATTTGCTCACCCTAATGTTAGTCCCCACAGATCTATGGGGCAGCTAGAAACTGGCAATTCATTGTTCCTACACAGATCAGGAGAAGGGGAGAGAAAGTGATTGTTTCCCCAACTGTTAACCCCAAAACTAAAATCATCCAGGGAACTATTTATCCCATCCCAGTTTTTCATGAAGACTACTGTTACCTGGTTACCTTATCATTAGAAACAAATGAATAAGCAGGTAATCTTCTATGCCAATGGAAGAGTTGGTCCAAGAAGAAGATATACACTTTTGATTTACACAAAATGCTTCTATTTAGGCAGAACTGATAAGCAGTTTGTTTGTTTTCTTCCTGAAACAGGGAGATTGACATGGATTTGAGTGTGAATATTCTGATACAGACAGGTTGGAGCCTGCACATAAAGCATTTCCTTCCATTCAAGCACACAAACCACATGCATGCATATATATAATTGTTCTCCTTATTCAACTCTATTCAACAAGATAGCCCTGCTTTATCCCAGGAGCATCTTTTCCATCAGCAACCTGGTCCCATCCAGGAGGGTGTGGCCTAATTAAAAAAGAATTTGGATTTTTAAAACAATACTGATCTCTCTTGTGTGGGGTGGATGCCTGTGAAGCAAAGGGCTAAAGAACGCTAGTTGCAGCTTCAAAAGTCCTCAATGAAATCCTTGCCTCAGTCAGAAACTCACAAGTGCTGCAACCTTATCCCAAAAGCAGACCCCAGTGAACATAGGAAAACTTACTCCTGGGCTCACCTGCACTGAAGGTTCCTTGGAACCACCACATCCCAGCCTCAGCCCCCCACCTGCCATAGGGAGTAATGCTACCTGCCTACCTTGCAAGGATTTCTCAGTGCCATGCCGGCAAAGCAATTTTAGCACCTGCAATACAAATACTATGTAGTTAAAGCATTATTAATGGGCAGCAACTCCATCAAGCTGCTGTAATGGCAAAGGAGTTAAGGAGTAAAAGATCTTTCAGTAACTGGAAACCTTTTGGCTAGCTAGAAATAACCAGCCTGCCTACCCTCTCACCCCAATTAAGGAGGCATGCCAATTTCCTTGCTTAATTTCTTTTATTATTTTCCAACACATCCCTTGCCCATGGAATTTAAATTATCTAGGTGTGTTACTGCTAACAAGTTTCCCTTTGCCTCATCAAGCATTCTTGCATCCTTTCATCACCACCCTTGATGGTTCAATCCCTCCTCCCCCAGCCCCAGTACTGAATCTCTCCCTCCAGTCCATCAGCCCCCTTTCAGGTTTTGCTTCCCAGCTGCCTGTAGGAGTTAGGAACACAGGAGGATGCCTTCTACAACTGGTCCACCTATCTCTGCACTGTCCACACTGGCAAGCAGCAGCACTGCCTGAAGATGCTGGGGATTGAATATGGGGCATTCTGCATTCAAAGCATGTGCTCTGCTATTGAATGAGTTCAGCCCTTTCCCTAAATGAGTTCATGATCTCCTAAAAAAAAAAAAAACCAGGAAAGCCCCACATCTACACCTTTTACCAGATCACATGTCACTTGCTGCAGCTGGCAGGTATAATCAGGTATGCTGTTTGATACCATGCATCTCCAACCCTAATTATCCCTCAAATCCCACTCTAGCTACAATGGACATAATAAACATCACACACCTGTCATCCCTGCCCCCCCCAAAAAAAACCTGTTCTCCCTTCTCTGGCACATCTAACACCTCCCCAAGTTTATGTTCTCTGAATATGAACCCTCCATCACTCCTGCAAATAATTTAAAAGGGCAGCATTGCTGACCAGACCAAGGAGCCCCTCGTTCAAACATTCCCAAGCTAGCCAACACAGCTTGAAGGCTTTTAAGCTTCTAAGAAGCAAGGACCCTTCCATTTGTGGTTTGCCTCAATCATTTGATTTTCAGAGGTATACTGCTTCTGAACTTGGAGGTTTCACCTAGCTACCACAGTGAAAAGCCGCGGAGACTTCTATCACCCGTGACTTTGCCCAACCCTTAAACACATGCACACACATATATAAATGGCTATTTTTTAGCACTTTGACCAAAGGTGAATCTGCCAAACTAATCTGGGGGAAATGAAGGCATGGCAAAGACTATTATTAGGGGAGCAAGGATTTTGTTATGCAATATACAGCAGTTTGGGGTTGAAGGTAGGTGGGAATCGACTGCACAATTTTCAGCAGGTCTGCAAGGATTTTCAACTCCTAATATTTACCCAACAATTAGTGAACCTGAACAATAGAGGTGGTGAACCCTCTGGGGGGGTGTATTTTGCTAAACACTTCTTCTTAGCCTCAGTGTTCCTCACCTGTGAAACAGGAGCATTAAACCAGATCCTGGTGCAGATTGTACAATTCTGTGTTAACTCAGATGTAGATTTGCAATGTGTGAATTATGGGTGCAGGAGATAAATGGCTTCCCCACACACCTTTTTGCTTATGGCTCCCCCACCCCCTTGTCACAATTTTGTAGCTACCTCTGGTTGGTGGACCTCAGTATTCTAACAAAAATACCTTACTAGATCCCACAATCTTGAGGTCTCAACAACTCCGTACTCTTTCTAAATATACCTTAATATACTGTGGTGGAGAGGGGCGGGGGAATGAACAGGATAGGCAGTTCCGAAGCCCCATTAAGCCGAACAAGCAGGAGTTCGCCCCAACCAGCACATTTTGGCTTACCGAAGTGAAGCAATACACATTTACCCTCTAAAGAGGGGGTTGCATAGGGCCCTTGCGTCCAGAGTCTGAAATTACCTACCACTGCCCACCCCCGTTTAATGGATTATTAACTAATTATTAATCGTGTTAACGTTATCAATCATTTTATCCCGGGAGGGAACCGAGCCCCTCCGGTCGAGAGAAGCCGCTTTTCTAAAAGTGGCAGTTCTGCGGGGACGTCAGGTTGGTTCCATCACATAAGAAGCAGCTGTTCCGAGACAGCACTCTATCGCCGACCCCTGCATCAAAGAGCGACCCCGCCCAGCCAACGAATAGATCTTCCACAGATTCATACAAGCAACTCTACCCTGAAATGAGGCAACACAAATCAAGGTCGCCTTCTCCCCACCCCGCATTCACAAAGAGACCCCTTCCAACAACTGAAATATCTTCTCATGTCTTTACTGGCTAGGTACCTCCTGCCTCGCCCCATTCCATCCCCGCCAGGCCCCCCTCAAAGCGTGCCCAGGGCGATCCCCCAGGCCAGGCAGGAGGAAACGATCCGGCGGCTGCCCGATTATGGGTCAGAGCGCCGTCGAGTCCCGCCTAGGCAGGAGACCGGCGCCACGCTGCTGCCTTAAGCAACTCTTCGCTTCGGGAAGCTGCTACTGCTGCTGCTGCCGCCGTTTCTTGAAGAGACAAGAGAGGAACACCCGCCGCTCCTCCAGCAGCAAAGCTGATGGATCTGAACAGGGGCCGCGACTGTCAGCCAGCGCGACCCATGCTCGCCCCACAGCCGCTGCTCAACCTTCCTGATGAGGAACTCTATTGAACGCGAAAGCTCTCGCGTCAGGCAAGAAGGGAAAAGCGACGCTCCCTCCCAACACCTGGAGGAGCGCGGAGCATCCCTCGCCGCCGCCGCCACCAGCACCCCGTGTAAAAAACACAGGACCTCTCCGTAGCGCAGGTGCTGGGGGTAAGAAAGAGATTGCAAGTTGCGCCAGCACTCCCTTGGTACTGATAAACCCTTCGGAGTAGGACGCGGAAGAAGGTTGGATGGCTCCATCCATCCATCCCTTCCGCGGGCACTCACCTCGACTGGGATGCAAGAGCTGTTATCAGATGCGCTCCCGCGGACTCCATCCAAGGAACGCCCTGGGGAGAAGCCGCGTCCGTGGTTTTAAGTACAGTCGCCGGGAGAGCGACCGGAGCCGTTCCGGATGAAACAAGGCAAGACCCCTCCTTCGGGGCGGGGCGAGTCTCCGAAGGGGCGGGCTCTGGTTACAGCGCGTGGAGCTGTTTTTGTGAATGTAGCCGCTCTAGCCTGCGCGCTTGTGAATGGAGGGAGAAGGAGGGGGCGGGGTGGGTTTTTAGCTCCTCCCCCTGTTCTCCCCCCCACCTTCCCTGCTCTTCCTTTCCCGTAGCTCTTAATGCTACCCAAGTGGCGTCATCCAATTGAAATGGAATCGGCCCATTAGACGTCCCTAAAGGGATCTCGCTGCTGCTCGCCCGCTGATTCCAACCAGCCTTGCAGCAGAGAGTGAAAGAGAGGCGGTGGAGGAAGCAGCTTCAAGAGCTCAAACCAACCTCTCTACAACCCCGAAATCCAGAAGCTCCAAGATCCAATGTTCAATTTTGGAACATAGCAAGTTTTTTTTAAGGCGAGCTTGCCTCTGAGCATGTACAGAGTCCCTCTCCCGAGTCATTAAAACTAATCTGAGTGGCTGAGGGAAAGGCTTCTAGGATGTCTTTTTTTAAGAAAAGAGAAATTCCGTCAACACTCTGCCTATCCTCAGAACTTGAGTTCTCAAAAGGCATTTTATTAGAAGTTATCCCAGTTTTCTAGGAAGTTAGGCACTCATACCCTGGTACCTGGTTGCACCTTCCATAACCTGCTTTCAGTCAGTCTGCCTCACCTTTCAGTCTGCCTCACCTACAGTAAAAATAAAATGTGAGAGTACTTCTGAGCTTACACAGAGTTCCATAGGTCTATGCGGAAATCACACCTAAAATTAAAATTGGAGGAAAAATTTCCATCTGTTTCAGAGGTATGTTCACATACATTCAACAAGTGTGCAGAGTGTTTACCTGTGCACACAGCAGTTGAACTGCCCAAATCAAAAAATGTACTCTATCCACATAAACCTGTAATGTGTGAACAGGAGACCTTCCAAGGCTGGCTTAGAGATGCAGTGTTTCTGTTGTAAGCATTTCAGTGCTGGATCTGGATGATATCGGTATCTAACATCCTGGTAGCTGTCATCAGGAATGCAGCTGGGACACTTGTCTTCCTAGAGAGATTGTCTCTGGCAGCATCTTTCGAAAACCAGCAGGGTTTGGCTCTGCAACCAAGAAGGCCACACAAAAAATAATAAATCATATTTATCTTAAGACATTTTCACATGTGGCACCCAAAAAACATTTCCACAACTTTGTGCCTAAAGTACACTGTTTGTGCAATATGTTTGTGAATAACAGTGCTGTGGGAGCCAAACCTACTGTTCATTCTACCCGGTGCATGTTTTAACAGTAGCATTGCTATGTGTTCACACAGGCACCCAAATAGGCACCACTCTTTATATTTTGTGTGAAACAGCCTGCAACGAAATGCCATCCTCTCCTTTATTTATTTATTTATTTATTTATTTATTTATTTATAGCATTTGTACTACCCACTGTTCAACCAAAAAGTCTCTTATAATAGCTTGTGTACAATAAATTAAAAACAAGACAATCTAAGAAACATGATACATAAGAGGAAAAGGGACAGGAGAGGAAGAGGGGAAAGGCACACAGCTGTAAGCAAGTATGCTCATAAACTCTACTGTGTTCAGTGGAGTTTTCTTTCAGGTACTTGTGCAGAGGAATGTTGTCAGTGTGCAGTTTTACAGTTCAGTCCTACGCCTCTCTGTTATTATTAGCATTAGTATTAACATTGTCTATATATTGCCATCTCTGTAGATAGTACTTTACAAAGAACAGGTGTGACAGATCTCTGCCCCAAGGAGCTTGCAATCTACAGTATATTCAGGGAAACCACAGAGAAATGGAGGCATGTCAAGAATAAGGACCGTATTGTTGAATAAACTCATTATGCTAGTGGGAGCCAGAGTAAGGATTCCTGTGAGGGCAATAGAGATTGATCCTCTCCTTCCCCCAATGTGCATATTTACCATCCCCAAATCTCCTCTAGAGGAGCCTACAAAACAGATTAGAGGGCACACAGGGAGAGGAGAAGGAAAGAATGCTCAGTCCTGTAAGGAGAATTCTGGAATACTCTTTTAGAAGGATATTGACAAGCTCGAATGTGTGCAGAGGAGGGTGACTAAGATGATCAAGGGAGTGGAAACCAAGCCTGATGAGGAATGGTTGAGGCAGCTGGGTATGTTTAGCCTGGAAAGGAGGAGGCTGAGAGGAGATATGATAGCCATATTTAAATATCTAAAGGGCTGTCACATGGAAGATGGAGCAAGCTTGTTTTTTCCTGCTCTGGAGGGTAGGGCTTGAACCAATAGCTTCAAGTTACAAGAAAGGAGATTCTGACTACACATCAGAAAAAACTTTCTGATAGTGAGAACTGTTCAGTAGTGGAACAGTCTCCCTTGGGAGGTTGTGGACTTCTAAGCAGAGGTTGGAGGACCATCTGTCATGGATGCTTTAGTTGAGACTCCTGCACTGCAGAGGGTTGGAGTAGAAGGCACTCTCCAGATAGCTCCATTGGTAGAACATGAGACTTTTAATCTGAGTTGTGGGCTCAAGCACTATGTTGGGCAAAATATTCCTGCATTGCAGGAAGTTGGACTAGATTATCCTTGTGGTCCCCTCCAACTCTACAGTTCTGTGATTAGGACCCTTGGGGTTCCTTACAATACTACAATTCTATCATTCTAAGAGAATTATATTTCAACCATCCCAAAAACCAAAATGCTGCTCCAACGAGCACAAAACAGCCCCTTTGTAGTGCCACAAATCCAACTCAGTGGTGTAATGTTGGAAAGTGTTGATCACTTCTCCTACCTGGGCAGTTATCATTCCACAAGGGCCAACATTGATGCCGAAATCCAGTATCACCTGAGCTCTGCAAGTGCAGCTTTCTCCTGATTGAAGAGCAGAATGTCTGAGGACAGGGACATTCACAGGGAAACCAAAGCGCTTGTTTACAAACCTATTATACTACCACCTCTACCAACCTTACTGTATGCTTGTGATGGGCGGACCACTTATAAATGCCATCTCCAACTCCTCGAAAGATTCCATCAACAGTGGCTCCAGATAATTTTACACATCACTTGGGGAGAAAAGCGAACCAATGCCAGTGTACTGGAAGAAGCAAAGATCACCTGTGTCGAAGCAATGATTCTTCAACATCAACTTCGTTGGACTAGTCATGTTGTTCGGATGCCTGATTATCGTCTTCTGAAGCAAATACTCTATTCCAAACTTAAAAATGGAAAGTGTAATGCTGGTGGTGAACAAAAGTGGTTTAAAGACTCTCTCAAGACAATTTTTTAAAAATGTAGTATAAACACCAACAATTGGGAAACACTGGCCTGCAAGTGCTCCAGTTGGAGAACAGCCTTTGCCAAAAGTGTCATGGACTTTGAAGACGCTCAAACTCCTGCCCAGAAACCTAAGCCCCCAGTGGAAAGACTTGTAGATCCAGAATTGGCCTCCACCCACAGTCACTTATGGATTCACTGTTAAGACCATGTTCATGGAAGAAAATCTTACTCTGCTACGAGTGATCATCAAAGAAGAAGAAGATATCATGACTGATGGAGTCATAGCCTTAGAACTCTGTTGAATACAACCCTATGAGATTAGATCATAATGTATACCCTGGCTTAGTTACAATGGGAATTGGGAAAATGTGGGGAGAGGTCATCCCTTGCATCTCTCCATGGGCCACACTCCTCACCAGTTCTGCCTTTGCCTTCCTTGACTACTTTTACCTGATTGGTATATAACTCTCAACAATGATAACACCTATTGCGCCCCTGGAAAGAGAGGTAGGTGTGTGTGTGTGTGTGTGTGTGTGTGTGTGTGTAAACCCCTCTGGTGTTTGTGCCCAAGGTAAGAATCCCTTCTACTGCCCAAACCACTTTGTCGTTGGTCCTTTTGTTGTTGGTTCCATCCCATGAGGGAATGTGGCCTTCAGGTTAAAAAATAGTTCCCCACTGGTGGAATAGGGAGGTGTCCCACGGGACTTCTGGAACAGTTAAGCTTTAGCGAAGGAAATAAGGGAGGTAGTTACCTAGAGCAATTTCAGGAAGTGGTTGGAGGAATTATGGCAACAACAGAAAATGGGAGGCATCATCTCAGGAAGCAGAAGACCTTTGGCTGGCTCAGGGTAGTAAAGCTGGAGGAGGGAAGGTCACAGGAAGGGACATGTCAGGAAATAAGGTCAGGGAGATAAAAAAGGGGCAAAGCCATTGAGAGCTTTCGAGAGGAGGACAGGAATATTGTGTAGGAGCCAGGAGCGGATAGGAAGCCAGTGAATGGGCTTAAGAAGCGTGGGGGGAACAGGGTCAGAGTGACAAAAACGGTAAATATTTTTGCCTGAGTGCATGAAGGTGAGAAAACAGAAGACCGGAGGGAGAAAAAACAAATTTCCACTGAAGGGATAGTGATGAAGGGTTGTCTGTTTGTAATGTCCTCATTTTTGTAACATAATGTTTACTTAGAAGTAAAGCCCCATGGAGTTCAATGGGACTTGGGTCCTGATAAGCAATCTTTCAAACACACTTGCTGGCTGCCCAAGTATACTTAAGCTCGGAGAAAGAGCTAACAAATCAAGCGAGGCTTCACTTTGAACAGACTTCCATACGATTGTCTAGAAGAGATAAAATTTCTATAAATTTTGCTAAGCAGTGTAATGTGTATTTGTGTGATGTTCATGCAAACACAGCTACCGGGGGAAGTGAGCCTCAAGATGCACATATTAATGAAAATAACATTATAAAAATGCATTATAATAGTGAAAAGTGCTTGCCAAAGTGTACATATTAGGCAAAATGGCATACGAAATGTGGACTGTAGGAGAAATTTGCTTTTAAATTAATTCTCACAAGCAGCTTTTTGTAATATAAGCAAATAATTAAATGTGAACTGCTGTAAAGATGTGCAGAACTGAACCTAAGATGGGGGGGGGGATGAGAACCAGACTGAAGCTGACCAATTTGCTTTTCCTAATTTTTACCACAGTCTTTTTAACCAGGGGTGAGAATATCTCATCCACTC